GCTACTGCTACTGCTACTGCTACTGCTACTGCTACTGCTACTGCTACTGCTACTGCTACTAATCAGAGCCATGCGCCTAAATAAAAACACAGACATCCAATAAAGGAGAATATTTCTAGCTCAAGTTTGAAATGGTGCTCTGAGCTTCGTTGTTTTCTTGCAGATGGTTCAGTACACAAACTAGATATCATCACGAGTGCTAGACAATGTTACCTAGTTTGGGCAATGAAACGTCTGTGAGAAAACAACCATGCTCAGGGAGCACCAAGGACCCCTCACACAGATATCCAAACACCATCTAAAAGTTAGCTTATGTGAAGATCTAAGAAGGTGGACTTTAGATAACCTCAACAATCATTACAGTTTAGGGAATGTTAAGATCAGCATTTTGAAATATGCTTATTGGCTCTTATTCTGTACAAGTGACATAAAATTGGAATTATATGCAAAGTTTTGGCACCCTACCATATGAAGATAAGTGACTTACTATATCAGCATTAGTCTTCACATATCTTAAGGGGGCAATCCTATAACTGATCTCGGTAGTCTGATTTAGAGAACAATGGATAATTAGATCATTTGGGCTAGTTCTCCAGATGGCATGCAAATCAGATTTTTGCAAACAATACTTTGGTCATTGCTGCCAAATCTGGCTCAGCCATCAGTAAGGAATCCAGGATCATTTCCAAGTTGTACACCTGGCCAAAGGAGGAGTGCAAGTCTGTTGTATGCTATTATCCAGAGCAGCTTCTTCTCAATCCAGTGCATCAGTATTTTTCCAAGATTAAGTTTCACTTCCTCTTTTCCACTCAGTTCAGAATCAATTCCAGACACTTGTTTAAGAGTTTCTTAACCTTTCTAAGAATGGTGGTAAAAAACAGAAAAGGAGAGCTATTTGTCACCGGCAACTTAATAACACTGAAATCTCCATCTCTAGGCAGTTCTTGGCGGATTCATTTAAAACTGAATAGGATTGGGATTCTTGCTTGCCTTAGACAAAGGCCACTTGAAGAAGAGAAATTCTACTATGAACATCTCTTGAAACAGATTACATCAGAAGTGTGCTTCCTAAACTCAGGCCAGATGTTGGAAGAAGAGATGGTGATAAATAGTAACAGCTGCCAATTAGAAATTAGGACTTGTACTCTCACTATCCAGTAAGTTAGCAGAACAAATGAAGGCCATTCCAAAGCAGAATTATGAAGAGAGTGGGATAAATCTATATAATTGATTTGTTCCAAGTCACCAGTTCTTCACTTTTGGCCTGGAGGCGTTTATCAACCATAATTGGAAAAGGTCCAGAGAATAGGTGATGGGATGCAAACTTCCTGGCTAGTTTATCCATATTCTTTGGATGAATTAGATAATGTGCATCTTTCCCAATTTGATGTGTTGATATTAGACTGATTATAATTGCAAACTGATTACAGAGTAACTTCAAAGTCAGCACAGGGCTCACCAGATATATATAATAACAATAGCACTTAGAAGTATATTCCACTTTACAGTGCTTTACAGCCCTCTCCAAGTGGTTTACAGAGTCAGCATATTTCCCCCAATAATCTGGGTCTTCATTTTACTCATCTCAGAAGGATGGAAGGCTGAGTCAACCTTGAACTGGTGAGATTCAAACTGCCAAACTTCAGGCAGCCAGTAGTCAGCAGAAGTAGCATGCAGTACTGCACTCTAACACCATGGCTCAAATAAGGTTTTTTTCCTAACATAATAGCATTGATGATCAGCATTGTGCAGATGTAAAGACCATGAAGCTTTTGAAACTACTGTCACTGAGTAATACTTAAGATAATGATACACACAATGAGGGTGGTTTTTTTTTTGGCTACTCACAAACCTAATAATTTAAGATTGAGTAAGCTGCTACAATTAAACTATGATTATGTACTTCTGGGAGTTTTGCCATTACTTCTCTGTATTGTGATACAAGTGGAAAACTCAAGGCAGATGAGAATATTATGTTGGCTACTCATCTTTCCTGTTTTTCTAGTTTATCCCTGGTGACTCAGATAATTGAGGAATAGCTGAAATCTGATGGAATTGGCCTTTCGCCATAGTTGATGGGTGACCATGTTTTATATGGGTCTACTTTTTAACTAAAGTGGTAAACCATCAGGTGAAGCTTGAAAAAAATCTTCTGCTACATTTGCTGTAACATTTATGATATTCCATGCAATATTAATGTATTATGATGTTGAACTTTAAATTTGATCTTACAGACCACACAGAAATACTCAGTATATTTGGCTGAGTTGCACACTCAGTTTTCTTTATTTAAATCTCAAACACCTTTTCTGTCTTCAGCAAATTTTCTTTTTCTTTTTGGAAATTCAGTCTCATATTATATCCAAATAGACAACGATTGTCATTTTTGGTCAAGCTCCATTTTAATGCTTCTCTCTCCCCAGTATAATAAATTAATGAAACAACATATGAAGAAATGTAACAGCCAATATTTTATGCCAATAAAATATCCTTAGAATTCTCCCCAATTCATTGTCTAAAATCTAAAGTATATTTTTAAATATTTCCATTTTTAAAAAATAAAATCCTCGGAGATAGTACATTTTCTTCTTTTCTCGTGGTTAAGATAAAGTATGATTAGCTTGACAAACTAAAGTATATTTTGGAATGCTTTCATTTTCAAATCAAAAGATCCCTGGGGATAATATGGTTAGTTTTTTTCCAGTAGTTAAAATGACCACTGAGATTTCCATACATGCTAAATA